ATTTTTAATACTAAATACTTTAAGAAAAAAAGAAAAAAAGGAAAAAAGAAAATGCAAGAGAAAAATGAATGAGAAATTATTAGTTTTTCAATTTAAAATCTCAATTACTTCCTATTCATTGAAATTTTTTGACAAATATTAAAAAGTAATTTTTATTCCAATTAAATATACTTTTTTTTCGATTTCACATATATAAATTATTAGTGTAAAAATGAAAAATTTGAATAAAATGATTTGAAATTTGACAAGGATAATATATTTGAATAAAATAAATTCATTGAAGCATGCAATTGTTATACATACATACATATATATATATATACATTTTGTATAATTGTCCCATTTCTATTTCCATTCCAACTAATATTATCGTTATCATAACAAATTTGCCTATTTATTATTAAAATTAAACCAGTAAATAAGTAAACAAATGAGTAAATAAGTAAATAAATAAATGAGTAAACAATTGGCAAAAGTATGAATGCTTTCCTTTTTCTTACCCATTATTTCATTATAATTTATCATTTAAACTGGATTAATTTTTGAAATTTTTTATTTATTTATTTATTTTTTATATATTTTTTTTTTGAAAAGTTACTTATATAAAATTTTAATTTATTGAATAAGCACAATAATTATTCTAATGATATTTAAATTTGTATACAATTTCAAATTATCAGAATACAATAATAATTATTATTCAAAGATTATTTTGAATTATTAAATAAATGTCTTAACAAGTATAAATTTTTAAGCATTACTTGTAAATTTCAAAAAATTTTTAAATATTATGTGTAAATTACATTTACACATAATTAATGCTATAATAACGAATAAAGCTATCAACTACAAGTAGTTTTTTCCATAAGCATTTTGTTTTAATATAATTTTTTTTCGATTAATTATTATTAATTAATTTATATGTAAACATTTTTCATAATAAATATCTGTTATGGTAGTATTAATTATTTTAATTGAATTAAATGAAATTAATTTTCGAATGAAATTTTTTTTTTCCATCAAATAAACTTTCACAGTATTGTTTTATCAAAATGAAGAAATTAATTCAAGCAAAAAATGTTTAATTTATCAATTTTTATGTGAAAAAAAAAACAAAACAATGAGTAAGGAAATTTCAATTTTATTATTATGACAGTCTTTTTTTTCGTTTTCATTTCTCCAGATTTAAATTTTTACTAAAATATTAAAATGAGACAAGCACTTGTCAACCTCTTACGCATTTCATTGATTGATATTGTTGCTTCAATTTCATTTTGATCACTTGAAAATAAATATGCAAAAAATAAAAGTAAAAAGAATAAAGGAAAGATGAAATGTAATTATAAAGGTCGTGTAGATGACAATTAAAATATCAGTGACAAAATAAAAATATCTGTAAACATTATATCCAATAAACACTCATATCTTATTTATTTCACTTAAATGATAAAATGATAAAAGTGATAATTTAACAAAAGAGTGGGAGGGAGAGAGAGAGAGAGAGAAAAGAAAAGATAAGCAGGATAATAATAAAGTTTTAAATTTGATCAATATTCATTGTTTTCATATGATTTGCAAATAATTTTCGTTACTTCTAACGATAATAATAAGACAAGAAAAGGATCACAAAAGTTGACAAGTATGACAAAGTTTTTGTCCAATCAAATGACAGATTAAAAGGAATATGAGACAAACGAAATTCGATTCACGGCCGTTGTGTCACCTCTATAGTGTCAAATCATCATTATCGGCAAATGAAGCATATTTCGACTACTTCTTGCTAAATTATGGACATCGCTCACATTTCACTTCAACAATTTATCTTATCAATGGTCATTCATGCTAATGGTCACTCATGATGCTGTAAGCAATTTTAGCAGCATTTGTGCGTTTACTTACCGCATGATACATGCAACGTCCCAAAAATTCTTTCGAACTAAATCTCACTGATTCGCAATTATTGGAATTTTTTTGAACCAAATCGCATCGCTTGCGATATTGAAATTTTTTTAAAATCGCATCAATTACAATTATTGGAATTTTTTTTCTTTTTTTGAATAAAGTCGCATCAATTGCGATTATTATTTTGGATCAAATCGCATCGTTTGCGATTATTGGAATTTATTTATTTATTCATTTATTCATTAATTAATTAATCGATTAATTTATTCATTTATTTTGAACAAAATCGCATTGATAATTGGTCAAAGTAAACACAAAAAAAGTAGAAAAATTAATGAAAACATTATTTTTTAGCATAAAAATATTTTACTTTTCAATGATTGATGCATCTCATTTCAAATGTATTTTTACTTACTTTTCCATTCATTGGTATAAATAATTAATAATATTTGCTACTTATTCAAATATATAAGCCATAAATTTATGGTAAAATTGAAATGAATGAAATTTACATAACGATGACAAAAAAATGTAGCAATTAATTGTAACATATTTACAATGTTTTTATTCTAAATTTTGAATTTCTATTCATCTATAATTATTTCTGTCACATTTTTTTTGCCCAATAACTTTCAATAATTTCAATAATTGTCAATATTTTTAAAAAAAACAAAACTTTTTTTATGGTACATTTTTTTTGTTCCTTTACAATTAAATGATCAAAAAATAATCAAAAATTTCGCATTATCATATTGTATAAAAAATTTTACATTCGTATTTATCGATTTAAAAAAAAAATGATAAAGAATCAATATATTAAATGAAATTTGTTTCCTTTTAAAAATTCTACTACGAGTAAAGTTCCAGCAATGAAATTAAAATGCATTAGAAAAAAAGTTTTGATCTAAATTTGTAATAAATTAACAAAAAATGAAATTCAAAAATAAGTTTATAAGCATTAAGCATAATTTCAATCTTGATGCATATCATATTAAATTATCAAAGTTAATATTCTAGCAAAAAACATGTTACGATGAATAAATAACTCTTATTTGCATTAGATCATAAATTCTAATTCTTGGGAAATTTCCATTTTAAATTAAATAATGAAATTTAGGTGTGAATTAATTGATTTGAAAAATTTTTCATCAAAATATTATCATTCAAAAGAATAGTTTATAGCTTATCTGGCTAAATAATACTTTCATAATTATCAGATACAATTATATTTAATATGCTTATATCACCATTCTTCACCATCACGACTCATTCTTCACCATCAGAATCCATTCTTCACCATCAGAATCTACTTTTTTTTTACCACCATAATTCATTCTTCAACATCACAATTCATTCTTCACCATCAGAATCTATTTTTTACCATCAGAATCCATTCTTCAGCACCAGATTTCATTCTTGAGCATCAGAATTCATTCTTCACTATCACAATTCATTCTTCATCATCAAAATCTATTCTTCACCATCAGAATCCATTCTTCACCATCAAAATTTATTCTTCATCACAATTCATTCGTCTTTATTGCTCATCTTTCATCGTGACAATTCACTCTTCAACAATTATTTTCAATGTTATTGTAATTTCTCTTACTCTCCTCCCTCAATCATCCCTCATTTCATACTCCAGCTAATTCTATAAAATACATACTCATACGTATACATACACATATGCACACGCAAATACAAACTCATGCATACGCATGCACACGCATGCGCATACATACTTATATACATTTATACGTTCGCATGCACGCATATACACATGTATGAACAACATGCACATACATATACACGTATACACAACTCGTATACACGCATACTACACGTGTAATTGTAACACATATACCATAGGTGTAATTAAAATTTTGAAATTATGAATTTTTTTTTTTCATTTTGGAAGATTAAATGAGCGTCATATGTTGTCACGAAATTCAAACTATTTTTTAATATCTTAAATTAAACGTATTTTGATAGAAATTGCGTGTATGCAATTCTAAGTAATTATAAACATTGTATATTTGTCAGTTTACTTTCTCTTATTTGTATACTTTCCACTTACGTATCTAATTATTAAGTAAATAATGAGAATCTTATTAGCATGACAATTGATTTATTCAGACGTGATAAATAAAAACCAAAACGTAGACGGATTCAAATCTAGTGTTAATCAAACATAGATTTAGGTGAATTCAAATCTAGACATAATAAACAAACCTAGACCTAGATGAATGCAGACGCAGATGTGACACTTAGACTTAAATCTAGACAAATGCAGACCGAGATAGGATAATTAAACCTAAGCCAAGACGAATGCAAGCCTAGATAGGATAATCAAACCTAAGCCAAGACGAATGTAGGCCTAGATAAGATAATCAAACCTAAGCCAAGACGAATGCAGGCCTAGATAAGATAATCAAACTTTGGCCTAAACGAATTCAAATGAATTCAAATCTAGACGTGATAATTAAGCGTGGAATCGAAATTTAAGTGTAATTAGATTGTTTGAGAGCATATTCAATCAGTATGAAATATTTAGCATAATTTTAATGAAAGCCTAAAGTAGTTTTAATTAAATTTGTTCTAACAGTATAATGACTATTACACTAATTGGAATGCAATTTGGCATATATTAATTTTTATTAATCTTCTCATTCTACACCAATCACCATTGCATTACTTTTTAAATTATTCATAAATTTGTTGAATTTTTAAATTCAACCTATTCTTCCTTTCATTTTATGCAAAATTAAAGAATTAAAAAAAGAAAAAAAAGTTTTGTTATGAAATTTGTTTTTGCTAAATTTTAGCCTAAAAAGACATTTACATTACATTAAATTGTAATTTATAATACTTTTTTTTTTTTAAGACTTGATAAATTTACCAAAAAAAATTTATGAACTCAATAAAAAGCATTTTCTTTTTTTCTTTTTTTTTTTTAGGAGATGGGATGAGATAATGCTAAAAGACACATTTAATGTCGTGATAGCTTATAGCCTATCATAAATTCATTTTAGCTTATTACCTCATTGGCTCTTTTTCTCCCATTACACCAGAAACAAAAAAAAAAGAAGGAAAACAACGAAGCTAAAGTTTTATTAAATTTAATCTTTGATTTTTCGAATCATGTAATCATTTCTTTAAGTTTTATTAAATTTATTCTTTGATCTTTCAAATCATGTAATCACTTCTTTTAATCAAATAATGTAATTCAAATTTTCAAATTTTTTTTTTCATTTCTATGAAATTTTCCAAATTTGATACTATTTTCATAAGTAAACTGTAAGCATTTAATTTTAATTTTTGTTAATAAATAAAAAAAAGAAAAGAAAAAATTAACAGCGTTACCATAAACTAATACATATGTTTTTGCTTCATATAAAACTTCTAAGCATTCATTAATTCTCATTGATATTTTTCAGTCTTAAAAAAAAAAAAAAGAAAAAAAGAAAAAAAGGAAAAGCAAGGGACAACAGAAAGGAAAAAGGAAGTTAAGTTAGACTTTGAGAGTGTCACATGGAGTAAGACATTGAGTCTATGCAAATATGTATGCATGGATCGGTCAATTGTCGAAATAAATCGTATAAGCTCGATATTAAACGATGTGCAATATTCAATGCAACGACTATCATTATCATTATCATTATCAACAATTATCAATGTCAATAAGAACAATGATAACAATAAGATCCTGATTGTCATACTACTTCTTATCATTCAATCAACAATTGTTGGTAAGTTTAAATTAATCATTTTGTAATGAAATTAAATTAATATATAATATTTGAAATAATTGAATTGAATTTTAATATTTAATCAGAATAAAATTTTAAAGTATGATAGAATAGAATTAATTATATGTATGATAATATATAAAAAATATTTTAAGTTCTTTTCTTTCAACAAAAAAAAAAGAAAAATCAATTGCTGCTTATCTAATCTTTTTTTTGCATTCCTTAAAATGCAATCAATAAGATTTGCATTCATCAAATAATTAATTTTCATCCATTTTTTTTTTTTTTAGCTTTAAAACAATATTTTGTTGTCGTTTGTCGAATATTTTCATATACCAAAAAAAAATTTTTTTACTTTAGTTATTTAAGTTTTTAATTAAAATTTTACTTTAATCATTTAAATTTTTAATCAAAATTTTTCCACTATAATTGTTTTTCTTAATGCTTTGATAAATACTATTATTCATTGTAAATCATAATTTTTCATTTTTATTTCAAAAAAAAGAAAAATTTTTTTTTCTCAAATTAATTAACACTTTGACTTAAATTAATTTAGCATTTTTTGTTGCCATTATTCATAATAGCATATAAATAAATTAAATGGGACAGAATGAGTAATATTTATACTATGAGGTTTTTCCGGAATGGAGAAGAAAATACATCCGGAAAATGCATTCCTGATATTTCATATTGATGTAATAAAGGAATAAATAGCTTTTATTTGTCAAGTTTAATAATATTTGACAAATATTTAAAACGTTAAAATTTCATGAATAAATGAAATATTACAATCTTACTTATGCATACTTTTTTTTTTAGTGCAACAAATTTTTCTCAAATGTAAAAAGTTTATTTTAATTTTATTCAACATTCAGTGATTATTTTGTATTCAAATTATCATTACAAATAAATGAATTGAAAGGTATATTTTCTATTCTTTATTAAATATTTCATTTAAATTATGAACAATTTAATTCAATTTTAAAGCGTTTTCATAGGGCTATACTTTCATAAGCATATGCTTTCATACTAGCTATCATTCGTTTTAATTTTAATTTTTAAATAAATTTTACACTTTCCTAAATTATTAATATGTTTGCTTTTGCCACAAAAAAAAAAGCAGAAATAGTGGGAAGAAGTATTAGGGAAATGGTGGTGTATACCTGTTCACTTTCACTTTGTATTTTTCAAATTATAAACTTTTTTCAAATTGTTTAATATTCACCACCTTAACCTGATACTTTACCGCCTCCTCATACTTTACCGCCTGATGAATCAATAGTCCGCCTAATGATTGAGTGTGAATATTTCATCGTTTACATTCATCTAAACTATTGTTTTTGCAAGTTTCACTTGTAGTTGCTGCATAATTAATTAGACATTAAACAGTTTACAATGTAATTGTTAACAAAAGGTTTAATTGATTAGACATTAATTAGATACTATGAGAATATAAAATAGGAATATGTATATATAAGGATAAGGAATAATAAATCGAAATGTGTTAAAAATACTTTTTTTGAATTAAATGACAATTAAATATCGATCTATTTATGTAATATAAATAACTTATTATGATAATTTACATTATCATTTTTGTTAACAAATATATTATAAACTCTTTTTATCATGAATTTAATGAATAATTATTGACGTTTTCTTTTTAAAACTAACTTTTATCATCATTGAACTCAATTACTTGTTTACGTGCAATTATTTAATTAAAATTTAACTAAATGTAGAAAAATATCAAACGAATAAATGTTTATTGCAAATTATATTTATAATTATGAAATATTAAAAAAACAAAGAGTAAATTCAGTTGAAATAATTATTTATTTGAATTTTTATACATTTTTCCTGCTTTAACATTTTCCTATTTGTTTAAACTAATTTTAAAAAAAAAAATAAATAAATAAATAAATAAAAGAACGAATTCTTTTAAGTTTTTTTCAAAAATAATATTAAAATTTCAATTGAAATGCAATGCTAAAATGTTAAATGAAAATTTCGATAATAAATTTTCTTTTTTTGTGAGTTTATTTTCATTTCATAATTTTTTGCTTACTAATAATGTTTTCGTTTCTACATTTTGCTAATAAATTTCCTTTTTCATTGATGAAAGATTTTCTAAGGAAAATATTCAATGTTTTATTTACTTCATACATTCCTATTTTATATATCATTAAACGGAAAATGAATGAATATGACAAATACGGAAAAACGGAAATAGATATAATGATGATGATGATGGATGATGATGATGATGATGATGATGATGATGATGATGATGATGATGATGATGATGATGATGATGATGATGATGATGATGATGATGATGATGATGATGATGGATAATGATGATGATGATGATGATGGATGATGATGATGATTGGTGATGATGATGAATCCGGTTATTGTGAAGTACTAAAGGAAAATATTTGATTTTTGATAAGAAAATTTTCTAAAAAATTTTTCCTATTAAAAAGAAAAATTTCTTTTTTCTTTTTTTAATTGACTAGAATTGTTTCATCATAGCATACCGAAATTTAAAATAAAGAAAAAGATCACTTCTGAACGATTGTCATTACGACGAATCATGCGAACAAGCAAATGGCACATTTCTTGAAGAATTTTTGAATTGATAAGTTTCGTGCAATAATTTGCCGCAATAGTTTGTGATTAGATTTACTATCATAGATAAAAATGATATAATTACGAAAGTTTACATTAATTAAAATCAATTTAATACCTTTTTATTAAAATGTGCAAAATATAAATTTTTATGAGAATGTGCACTAAAATATATTCCAATTCCATCGGATTTTAAATAAAAACAAAGCAAATTTAAAGAGAAACTAAATTATGAATAAAATATACAATTTTGATTAAAAAAAAAGTCTTTTGTTAGTTAATAATTAATTTTTTCCTATTAATTGATTAGAATGTATGAATTAAAGATGGAATTACGAATATTCATTTTCGCTTCAAATTTAAATCTAATAAGCTAAATGTAATTAATGAAACAAATTATTTGATGATTGTTTTTAAATGACATTATTTTGTTAAAAGATTCAATTCCGACAAATTCTTAATTGATAATTCAAGTATTGGAATTTAAAATTCAAACGACGGTCATTAAAAAATAATTGTATAAATAATAAGAGGAAAGTAAATAAGTAAACATAGCAAATAAATTTTATTCAATGATAAATCTTACTAACCGAGCTAATTGTCCTTCACCTTCCGAAACACCACGTTTAATGGACAAATCTCGAGCATCACCAACTTTCCAAGTACCAAATGCAACCGATCGGTACTGTCGTCGTGTATTGTACCAACCGCCTCTAATATTTTTAATATTATCTTCAACACTTCGGCTATTATTCATTGTTGAATTTGAATTTCCTTCTTTGATCTGTTCCAATTTTCCAAATTGTAATTTTTAAAGTTTTAATTCCAAGCTGAAATTTATAGCATATAGAGATTTATGAAAATTATAAGGAATAATGATGAAATGATTGCGAAAGTATTCATTTTAAAGAATATTTATTGAAAACTTTTTTGGGCAAAAAACTAAACGATGCAAATTGATATAATAATAGTAGTTAAAATTGATGAAATTTACTATGCATACCACATCCACTATTATGCAAATTAGGTAATATTTTCAAGCGTTTGACAAGTTCTTTGCCCTAAATCTGACCGAAATTTCATCGTTCGAATAAAATGAGAATTTTTGAAATCTGAAAAAAAAAGAAAGAAAAAAAAACAGAAACGGCAAAAAAAACTGATAGAATATGCAAATGGGAATGATAATGAACCAATGAACAGGAATTGATAAAATAGAATGAAATGTAATTTAATATTAATGGAAAATAAATACGCTATGATTTAAATGCTTAGTATGCCTAATTTTAATCTTAAACTTTCCATTTTCAAACAAAAAATGAAATTTAAAAGTTTGAAGTGAAATTTCTCAAAGTTTAAAAGAATATAATTGGCAATTATCACTTGTCATACTTTTAATTCTGATATGTTCTTTAACTATGACATTAATTATTAATATGCAAAAGATAAAAAGGAAAAAGTTAGCTAACCAAAAGGCAAAAAGAAAATGATACCAAAAAGATACCATTTGAGTAAAAAGCTTTGAGTATTTGCGTAAATGTAATACGATTGATGAAAAAGTGACAAAAATTGGAGTAGATGACAACATTTGACGAACGATTACCATTACTTTAGCTAACAGCTTCTCAATCAACATTCTAGAAATTTTCATTTGAAAAATAAAAAAAAAGAACAGGTATTTTTCCATCTTATAGTTTTTGATCTTTACGTACAGGTAAAAAAAAATAATGCAATCAAAATGTAAAAGTTTTCTTACATGCTTAAATTATCGGAATGATTTTAATTAATTATTAGAAAGTTAGAAAATTACAACGGATACCTTAAAAGGCAATTAATATAGGAATATGAAAAGATAGTACATAACAATAGTTTGAATAATTTACGAATTAATGTTTACGTTTAATTTAATGATTACAGTATGATAAA